GGTTGGCGCAGGATAGAGCAGGGTTTAGGGCTGTTGTGCATAGGGCCGCTATGAGTAGCAAATGACTTGATGGCACATAACAATAACAACAACGTTTTTCTATTGGATTATTTACCTGTATCTTATTGTGGTGCTCAAGTATTTTCTAAATTCTGGATATAAGTTCCTTATCTGATATGTCATTACCAAATACTTTTCCCCAGTCTGTGGCTTTCCGTTTTTACCCTGTAGGAGAAGTTTTTGGATGTGCACAGGGATTTGATTCTTAGAAGATCCCATTCATCTACTTTATCTTCTCCTATTTGTAGGTATTTTTAACGTTTGGAGGAAGAGAAAGTACTTTCTATAGTGGTTGTCCCATTGTTGACTGCCTTGCAGTTTATGAGCCCTCTAATCTCCTCCAATCTTGCCTGCATTTATTCTTTGTTGTCTTACTGGATTTTGCTATTGTTGCTGTAGTGAACTCATTCTTGTTTTGATCTGCATCTCTAATAGCACCTTTCTGGTAGTTTCAGTCATGTTTGGGAGAGTGGAGGGAAGAACCTCGATAAGATGGATCGATTCTGGGAGTGGAGTGGTGGGAATGAGTGTGTTTGAGACGGTGAGATTGGCACAGGATAGAACGGCGTTTAGGGCTTTTGTACATAGGGTTACTATGAGTCGCAAGCGACTTGATGGCACATATCAACAACAACAGCAACAGTAGATTCTAAGGAAAAAGATGGGCAGTATTCTTCCATGTGATTGCAGTTTTGGAAAGCAAGTGGTGTTTGCAACTGAATGTCAATGAGTGTTCAGTAGTTAATCATGACACATCTGAATGTCTTGGTTTACTGTCTTTTCATGTCCCCTGCCTATTTTTTAATTGGGTTTATTTTCTTGTTATATGGTTGCACTTTTCTGTAAATTTTAAAAACGTCACTTCCAAATATTTTTTTTTCTCGATACGTTTAAATATTATTTTCACTAAGGTTTTTAAAGGAGCTCTGGTGGCCTAATGGCAAGAAGCTGCACTGCAATCATGAACGCATGCAGTTCGAGGCCACCTGCTGCTCCACGAGAGAGGGATGGGCAGTCTCCTCCCATGTGATTAACTGCCTCTGAAAACCCACTGGAGGAGGGTCAGCTATGGGCTGGTTCTGATTCTATGACACAAAACAGCATCAAAGGATTTTAACTCTAGGTTTTACTCTTTTGATACACGTCAGGATTTCCTTTTTAGAATGTCTCAATCATCTAGTTTATCCTCTGTTGTTTGTGATTTTTCATTACTTTTGATGGTCTCTCTCTTTATATCAAAGTTTTATTGTTAAGTGTCATCGAGTCGTAGGTGGCTCATAGTGACCCTATGAATAAAAGTCCTGGACACCTGTACAACTTCGTCCTTTCTCCAGGTTCATAGGGTTTCCAGAGGCAAGCTATTACAGAAGTGGATGCCACTCCTGCTTCCAGGGTTGTTTTATTTGGGGAGCTTCACCAAACACTGTCCACCATGGGTAACCGTTCTCGCATTTGACTCCTCAGTGTCACAGTGTTCGGCTTCACAGCAACCATGAGTTACTTCTGTACAGCAAGTGGAGAGACCAGGAATGCACGACCTAGAAGAATGTTTCACCAAAAACAATTATAGGCAGGCCTGAGGTCCCTATAGCATTTTAAGTTAGCCCCTGAAGTAGGCTTCGCAGACTCCACTCCACCCATGTTTACCCTAACTGTAAGGCTCAGGGCCGCCCACCCACCTTTGAAGGCCAAAAACAACAGTAACACACAACGAAAAAGACCCCAGAAACTTCCCTTGCCTGACTGTGACCAAGCGGAGCCGCCATGGAGATGCCAGCCATCCCACCAGATTGACTGGTGGACTTCCAGAGTGGAGGGAGACTCCAATAGGGCCCTTTAAATTTCCCAAGAGCTTTTCTCTAATGATTATCATTTTTGGCTTTACAAGTAGGTCCTTGATCCATATTGAGTTAGTGTATAGTGTGAGACATCTAGTTTCATTTTTCCGTACATATATCCACTTCGTTGTTGTTGTCATTGTTGTTACCATAGAGTCAGAAGCAATAGCTGACCCTCTGGTAGGTTTTTAGAGGCAGTTAAATCACACGGGAGGATTTTTTTCTGGGTCCTTCATTTTGTTCCATTGGTCTGTGTGTGTTTGATTGTACCAGTTCCCGGTGCTTTTGGTTCCTATGACTGTATAGTAGACTCCCAAGGTCAAAAGTGCAAGGCTACACCCCTTAATCTTTCTTCTTCAGTATCACTTGCCCATCTGAGTCTCTTTTCTTTTTGTCACACATGCTTTTTTCTTGTTGAATTTTAAATAAATATTTTTCTTAGAAATTATACCAGAAAAATGCACCTGTGTCTAAAGAATCTTCTTCAGTTACTTCCAGTCCCACCATTCCTGTACTGTTCAATGAAAAGGACCAGCCTATGCTAGACCATCCATTTCCTGTAACCTTATTCTTTCCTTTTCCCCAGTGACCTTTGCTATGATGTAATTATATTTATGCTTACTGTTTAGTCCATGTATTCACCATCAGCAAATACAAACATTGTGAAGGAAGAGTGTTTCTTTTTGTCACTAATCAGTCTCTGCCACCTAAATGTTTGTTAAAAGGTATGAGTAAAAGAATATTTGACAAGTTTTGTTTGTTTTGAAATAATTTAAACATGTCTAAAGTTGGAAAACTTCAAGATGCACTTTTCGGTTGCCCAGTTATCTGTACTGAATTAAGGTATAGCAAATCCCTCTGCTGTTTCCATGGAGTGTGACCACATAGTTGGGTGTAAGTTTGAAGTCTGCTGAGAAATGGTGAGGAAAAAACAGTTGAAAAAGAAAATTGAAATTCCAGAGGGTACAGAGTGTGATAGAGGCACACATTGCTTCCTCCCTTTCCTCCCATTCTCTTTAGCGTGGATTTCTAAGCAACCCTAACCTTCTTAGGTTTTTCTGTACAAATATATGAAAGATAGGATTGTTATTTCTTATTTTTATTTTGTTTTGTTATTGTTGTTGTGTACTGTCAAATCGTATCCAGCTGGCACAGGAGGAAATTGCCTCTCCTTCTCCAGCGCAGCATCTGGTGGATTCGAATTACATGCCTTGGTGGTTGCAAGTGCAGCTTCTTGCCACTAGACCACCAGAGCTCCCGGATAGCAATTTTTTAGAGTCAGAATTTATCTGGGAGAGAAGAGTGATCAGGTTTATTCCTGGTTAAAACAGTAGTGTCAGGGATAGAAATACATAAAAAATGAGAAAGGAATTTCTATTTCTTGGTTTAAGGTGGAAGTTAAATTCTTGCTTGACTGTGTTGCCTATAATACTAGGCTGTAGTTTCATTATTATTTTATTTCTTTGGGCTTAGAGAAAGTGCATCAAAAAGAAACAGCTGTCTAACTTCTTTCTTTGTCTGGTTAAGTGCCAGTATAAACATTTAACTGTCTTCAAGTCTTTCTTAAATGCCTACAATGTTTATATGATGTCCCTGAACCATTTATGCATCTTTGTACCTTAGCGAGACACAGATCTGCTCTAAGAGATACTCCTCAGAGTTAGTGAATATAAAGTACTGCTCTTTATATTGAGAAAAAGAAGTTGCTATAAGCCCAGATCAACTTGACAACCAGCAAGAGTAACAATATGACTTTTGTGAGGCTACCTGGATTTGCAAGTGATTGATGAAGGGTACCACCTTCTGGGGAGGAGGATTTGGGTCTGCAGTTGATGATCATGGTGTGGATAGAAGATGGCTTCAGTTTGAAATATCAAACAAGTAGAAATTTGTGGAAAAGTTGTGCAGAAAATAGAGGAATATTGCTCATCAATGAGAATTGAGTTCTGTAAGTGAGACACAGGTCCCATATGTATCAAGATTCAAAATATAGGTTGCGTAGGTGGGGACTTTGATTAACAGAACTATTTTCTGGTTAAGGAACTTATTGCTAGGCTTAAAACTGTAGTTAAAATCATTCTCTAAAGATATACATAGTTTAAGAAAACCTCATTTGGTATTACTTACTTCCCTACCAGTGTACGTGTTTGGGGAGTAGAAGGGGGCAGATATGTCATGGTCTTAGATTTTTGGTAATGTGTTTCCTTCTCTAGTCATTTAAGTATTTCTGGAAGTAACAACAGTGTAAGTTCTTAAACAATCTTAGCAGTCACACACATAAAAATATTAAATATATGTTAATTTTGTGTTTTCCAGATTGATAATTTATTCATTAGTCATTTACCGGAGATTGTGGTGGAATTATTGATGACATTACATGAACCAGCAAATTCTGGTGCCAACCAAAGCAGTGACCTATCTGATTTTTCAGGGTATGAGCATTTTAACCTTATATAAATGACTGCAACTACAAAATTTGCTCTAAGTATGTTTATTTTTCTCTTTCAGATATGTATTGTTTCTAAATTATTTTTGTTTGAAAATAGCTACCTTTGAATTAAAGTAATTGTCCATCTTTACTGTGTCACAGCTACTCATACTCTTATCAGCATGTGTTTGTTCATGTACATTTCCCCTCAAATGTTCACGTCATTGATACCCATCTTTGCAGATATTTTCTATCGTTTAGGAGCTAAACAGGATTCCATTCTCTTCAAGAGACTTTTCTTAGCTTTTCTAGCACTTGCTAATCCACCAAACCCTATTACTGTTTTTAGTCTTGACTTGGAGAAATATGGAACTAGAGTGCTCCTTGGAGGCAAAAATAGCAAAGCTTTTTCTCACATACTTGGGACATGTTGCTAGGAGAAGATGTTCCTTGGAGAGGATTATCATGCTTGGAAAAGTGAATGGTAGGCGAAAGAGAGGAAAACTGTCAATGGGGTAGATTGACACTATGACTGCAGTAATGGGCTCAGTTGTGTTGGAGATCATGGGAATGGCATAGGATAGGATAGGTTCAGCTCTCCTGTTCATAGGGTCTCTGTGAATCGTACTCAACTCAGTGGCACTTAACAACAAACAACCATCATTATTTTATGACTCAATTTTCTTACCAAATTGCAAAGTAAATTTCTGATACCTGTGGCCAATTCTTTGTCAAGGCTCTCATATGGCATCATTTATTGCTCAGCTCTTCATGTGCTCTTTTTTATTTATGAGAATCTAGAAGGTTTACTGGGCTGTAATTCTATTTGGATGTGAAGTACCCTTATGTTGTTTGTGAGTGTTTCCAGCTTGATTATAAGCTACTACTTAATTTTTTATTTCTCTGTGCTTTAAAGTGCCCAGGAAACCCCACTGCCATCAAGGCACTTCCTACTCATAGGAAACCCTCTTTATCAAACAAATTACTCTTGTATATATAATTTCATTCGATAGAAATAGTGTTAGTTTGCTGTGTTTTACAATAGTGGAGAATTTACAGTAAGTGGTACAGAACTTTGGGGAGCGCTGGTTATGTAGACCATAGCCTGCTGCCCTCTTAATCCAAAGGCTAATTATCTCCTCCCCAGAGGTTTGAATCCACATATGGCTCTGCCAGAGAAAGATATGCAGTTTCATCCCGTTAGGATTTTACAGTTTTTAAACCTGGTGAGGGGGTTCCTATGACACAATTGATTCAAAGGCAGTGACTGAGCATAGAACTTTGACTTAGACTGAAAATACTAACCCAAATTCATAGAAATGCTACTAACTTGATGTAAGGTTAGTAAACCAAATAATTTTGTAGATTGATTAAGTCACGTAGAGTGAGTGCTATTTAAATGCTCTAATGGTATCACTCTGGAGACTAAGGTGTACCTGATACAGGCCATGGTCTTTGCAATCACTTGTTATGCATCAGAGAGTTGGACAATGACCAAGGAGAATTGATGCCTTTGAGCTGTGGTGCTGGAGAAGAGTATTGAGAATACCATGGACTGCTAGGAAAACAAACAGATTTGTCTTGGAAGGAGTTAAACTGGGTGGCTCCTTGGAGGCAAGGATTCTGAGGCTCTGTCTAACATACTTTGGACATGTTGTGAGGAGAGACTAGACCAGTCCTTGGAGAAGAACATCATGCTTGGGAGGGTAGAGGGACAGCCCAGGAGATGAAGTCCCTCTATGAGGTGGATTGATTCAGTGACTGGGATAATTGGGATGGGAGTGTCAGAGACAGTGCGATTGGCACAGGACAGAGCAGAGTTTCGGGCTGTTGTACATAGGGTCGCTATGAGTTGCAAGCGACTCGACGGCACATAACAACAACAACAATATATGCACTTAAAAAAACAAAACTTCACACTATATACTGCTTCAGTCTTACCTACATGTTTTCATTGTTGTTATTTGGTACCACTGAGTCTATAACTCATAAAAACACAATTGTGGGGGAGGGTATTCTGAAGTATTCTGAAGCTTAGTCTGACATACTTTGGACATCATGCTTGGGAAGGTGGAGAGACAGCACGGGGGGAGGAAGACCTTATATGAGGTGGATTGATTCAGTGATGGGTAATCGGGGTAGGTTTGTCGGAGACAGTGAACTTGGCACAGGATAGAACAGGATTTAGTGTCGCAGGCCATTGGACTGCACATAACATCAATGTAATACTGTATAGTGTTGGTCTAATACTTAAAATGATTGTACCACAGGAATTTAAGATGTTAATGGGGAAAACAGTCTGGCAGGAATGGAAGTATATATGGAAACTCTACTTTATAGAAAAAAAGGCCATTAAAAGATAAAATTTTGACTTGATTACATCTAACTCTTTTAGGGATTTGGATCCTGCACCTAATCCACCTTACTTCCCATCTCATGTGATTAAAGCAACATTTGCCTATATCAGCAATTGCCATAAAACCAAATTTAAAAACATCTTAGAAATTCTTTCCAAAAATCCTGTAAGTATAAATTAATAATGTAATAGCTGAAAAGAGAATTCTTTCTTTTTGAACGAGAAAATCTACATAAGTATACCATACAGAGAGAAAGATAAGCAGATGGAAAATTTATTTGAATAATTTAAAATTAGGCTCATTTACAGATTTTTTATTAGTATTTTACTTGTGGGTATTAATTTGACAAATGTTGCATATGAGACCTGAATATCATGACCCTTTAACTTTATATTAGTTCATTGAATATAATTATCTTTTTATAAGAATATATGATATAATTATGGTTTACTATCTTGAAATGAAATATACTGACAAGTTATTTGTAAAATAGTAATTAGATTATTTTGCGTTTGATGCCCAATATAAATCTAAATTTTGTAATTTAGTTAACCTTGAATAAAAACTGTATTATTACTGAGTATATGTGATTGATCAAGTTTTTAAGTATATATTTATTTTCTAGGATTCCTACCAGAAAATTCTTCTAGCTATATGTGAGCAAGCAGCTGAAACAAATAATGTCTATAAAAAGAATAGAATTCTGAAAATATATCACTTATTCGTTAGCTTACTACTGAAGGATATAAAAAGTGGCTTAGGAGGAGCTTGGGCCTTTGTTCTTCGAGATGTGATTTATACTTTGATTCACTATATCAACAAAAGGTAATTATACATTTGAAATAATATATAAGGTTTTCTGCCCAATTATCTTAATTGCCAACTTATATTCTTCAAATCAGAGCCAAAGTACTGTTTCTTTCAGTTTCTTTTTTGAATTAAATGTATGTATATATTATTTGTATAATGTATGTATAACTTTGGAATTTGGGTTCTTTACTAAATTAAATGTCTCAGATTCTTTCCATTAATTAATTAGATAATCCGGTAGATAAATTATTTGTTTTCTTTCACAGTAGATGACATTGCGTTAAATCTAACTCCTTCAAAGCACATGAAGAATGTGCCTTCTTCCAGTTTGCTTTATGATCTTTTTCTTCTTGTCTTTTAAACTATTAAAGAATTAAATATGAAAAGGAATTCTATGTCAAGCATTGGCTGAATTTGAGCTGCTAGATAAAGATGGATTTTGAAAGAGTTGAAATACATCTTTAAATATGTAGAATTATATAGAATTTCACATTACTGATGGCATATTTTTTTTCCTCCCTCTTGCAACAGGCCACCCTGTTTAATGGATGTGTCATTACGTAGCTTTTCCCTTTGTTGTGACCTGTTAGGTCGGGTCTGTCAGACTGCAGTGACCTACTGTAAGGATGCTTTAGAAAGCCATCTGCACGTAATTGTTGGTACCCTAATACCCCTTGTGGATGACCAGTTGGAGGTTCAGGAACAGGTAATCTCATGAATCATCTGTAAAACAATATTTGAAATACATGAGTAAAGTTTGCTTGGAACTTCAGTGTTTTATGTTTCCTGGTGGTTTGAAAAACATTTCTAATGAGTTAATTTTTAAAATCAATTAATTATTAGTAACTTATTTAATTAATAACTTGGTAGTTTTTATTACTTATGATGAACTATCCAGATCTAGGGATAATGGCTTATATTTATCACGATGGTTATTACATGAAATAATAACTCATAAAAAATGTTGACATAATATTGGCATTTTTTGTACTACACTGCAGTACCACAATATGTTGAATATTTGAAGGCACAGGAAATTATTAACTAAGTTATCTTTCAAGTAATTAAAATACTTAACTAATTCAGATTAGGAGAATTATCTATGTTGAGTTTTTGTTTAATATTCATTTAATATGTAATTAAGCCATTTCTTCCTTTTCATTGTTTTTCTTTTTCAATTCTATTTAGGTACTGAGCTTGTTAAAATACCTGGTGATAGATAACAAGGATAATGAAAACCTCTATCTCACAATTAAACTTTTAGATCCTTTTCCTGACTGTGTTGTTTTTAAAGATTTACGTGTTACTCAGCAGAAAATCAAATATAGTAGAGGACCTTTTTCACTCTTGGAGGTAAAGATGACTCTCTCATTTTTCCTTTTGGTATTACAATCCTTAGGCTGTGGGACTTTGTCATATAACTAATTCTCCTTGGAAAGTAAGATGGTGAAGCTTTTTTTAACATACTTTGGGCATGCTGCTAGGAGAGGGTATTCCTTGGAAAGGGCCATCGTACTTTGGAAGGTGAGTGTCAGTGAAAAAAGTGAAGACACTCACTGAGATGGTTGATAGAGTGACTTCAGCAGTGGGTTCAAGTGTGTCAGAGAACAGCACAGAACAACAGGGTTCAGGTCTGTTGTTCATAGGGTTACTGTGAGTCATAACCTCACGGCATCTAAGAATAACAATGTTACAAAGTAAAATTTAAATCTTAACATGATCTCTTAATCTTTTATATTGAAGTGAAAGTACAGATGACAAAATTTTGCTAGTAAGGATCTGAATTTAAATATTCAATGAATATGATGTAACTTGTGACTTATTTTGATGTACATTAAGATCTTGTTGTCTATTCATATCATTCATATCCTAAAATTACAGCCTGGTCCTTTGAGAGCCAGTTTAATGTTTACATTAAAGATAAGACTTAATTTTTAATGAAGTTACAATTACTAGTCTTTATAAATATCAGAATTAAGTTCAAGTACTTTTTTTTACCTTTTTAAAAATTTTATTTCTTTGATGGTTACTGTTTAATGTACACAGCAGAACATATATCAGTTCAGAGTTTATATATTTAGGATTCAGTGACAGCTGCTTATATTCTTGGACTTGTGTTAGCATTCTGATCCTCCTTTCCTGAGTTCTTTATCATCTATTGCTGCAAACTCAGTGTCCCTAAGTCTCCTTTCTTGGGTTACTGTTATCAAATTTTATGTGGGTAGCTCTTGATAGTGTGAATGCTCAAGGTGGGAATTCTTTACCAGTTAAACTATTGTTTGAATTTTAGAAGACTTCAGGGGATGTTTTTGGTGTAAGGTTCTAAGATCAATGCAGGGTATTCATTTCAGGAGCTTAGTCAGCCTCCAAGTCTCCAGAAAATCAGAATTCAGTGATATTTGAAATTTTTTTAATTTTCCCCCTACATTTGATTCAGGCTGTTCTGTAGAATCTTTGATGGCAGAATTTGATAATAGTCACTAGGTACCATCGAATTCTTCTGGTTTCCTGGAGGTCTTTAGTCAGATATTCTGTTTTCTCATGTTTCTGACCCCTGTTACTCTAGGCACTTAGAGAGCACTTGTGCCTTGGATATACCTCCGATGAAATTTTTCTTAAAACTTCTGTTGTTTCAAAGTCATAGTTTATGTTTGACTGTACATCAGTATGCAATATGCATAAATGCAATAATATGTTTTCCAGTTGATTACACTAAGAATCTTGACATCTAACTGTTATTTCATGAGTTTATTAAAATTTAAAGAAATGAAATAAATTACAGAATTTTAAGTAAAAGACGTAATATATTTCTGTCTCATTTGATAGTAACAATGATAGTGTTATCATTCAGTGTCTGTACAGGTACTTAATAGTTTTATCTTTTATTAAGTTTTCTTTCACAGACTTATTCAGTATGTACTGAAAGCACGTTACATCTTTTACACTTTTCTCTTTTAGGAAATTAACCATTTTCTCTCAGTTAGTGTTTATGATGCACTTCCACAGACAAGGCTAGAAGGACTGAAAGATCTTCGAAGACAACTGGAGCAACATAAAGATCAGATGAAGGAAATTATGAGAGCTTCATATGGTACTGATTTTAATGATGTGAGCTATTTATATCTTTCTTTTTAAAGGATCTTCCATAAATCCTTGCTGTTGGTTTGATTGCACTGCCTTAGTCCAGACCTTCATGATTTCATTAGATCCTCATCAGTTAGCTTCTAGCATGAAAAACATTCAAATTAGTCTTCTTGACTTACTCCCATTTTACTGATCCTATACTTTTGCCAAAATGGTTTCTCTGAAACTTAATCTTGATTATGTTTTAAAGACACTGCTTTAACAACTTTCTGCGACCTAAAAGAAAAAATAAAACCCCTAATTTTTTTAGCCTATTGCTCTAGTCAAAGTAAACAGGAAAAAGTATCTCATTTTAAACCTAACCATGTTCATGTATGTATGTGTTTTTAACTTGTACACGTTTATTTTTGTACATGGGAATTGGTATTTATACATGAGTTTCTAGATTTTTTTCTTTTTTGTACTTTAGCAAACATCCATATTGATAATTGATTTTTATTTGGGTTTGAGGTTCTCCATCCCCCCGTCCACTTTGTAATGCACCTCTGCTGTCATACATGCATGTCCTGTTTATGCATTCCTTTCAGACAGTCCTTTCCTCATCTGTTTCAATGCATTGTTCATTCTCTAGCCACTCTTTTCCTATTTAGCAAGCCCGAGTGCCATGAGTCTTGGTTTTTTTATTTCTATATGGTTTTATTTAATAAGGAAATTAATATCTATTTAATACATAATTTTGAGCTATTCATGAATGAAAATCCTATTACGCTTCATGAAATTTTCTAGTCAGACAATATTTGTGTATATTTTAAGCACAAGTCTTATTTCCATAATTTAAATTCATTTTTTCCAAACTCTAAGAAAATCCGCAAGATGGCATTATGGTGCAGCTGGTCGTGAGCTTGCTGCAGCTGTCGAAGAAGGCCATAAACCGCACCGGTGAGAGGGAAGTCTTAGGTGAGCCGTTTGGCTGCGTGCATGTCAACTTCTACCATGTTTGAATGTTCATTTAGTATAATATTTTCAAATTAGGGAGAGATTTAACATCTGGTTTGCTGAGTAAATGTGAAATGCTGGATGAATTATATTTCTAATTAATTCAGGTTTCTCTAAGCAGCCACTTTTATATTTTCTTCCTTACACCTTGACATAAGATGGAAAGTTAGTGATTTGTACGTTACTTGAAAATGCATTATAGATCTTTTTGGAAAGTCAGAAATACTTCTCTGTGGAGTTGGTAGGTTACAAGTAAATTGGTTGTAGAGATGTTTTCTAAATATATAATACTGACTCTTACTTAATATGTCCTCTTTTAAAAAAAATAGAACTGAAGACCTGGAGGACTAGGCTAAACTCAAGCATTATGAGAGGATTAAAATCCTTCACTGTTTTTGAGAGGACTTAATGTACAATAAATAGCCTGTTTATTAATATCTCCTTAGTGACTTAGTTTACGGAGAGGTTGATGTTTTGAAGCCTCCCCCAGTAGGCTTTGTGGTGGAAAGGCCTGGTGATCTTAGTTCTGTACTTTTTCTATTACTACCCTGGAAAGCCCTGTGGAGTGTAAGCTACTTTGGCAAACACTTGTCCTGGACATAATTGGAATCTGCTTGAGTATGGCAACTTAAGTATATGGTACACAAAAAGAAATGTTACACTGTCTGGACAAATGAAACAAGTATTTCAATTTGATGATTATGGGCTAGAAATATCACATCATTAATGACTATTATCACCAGTTTTGTTTTGTTTTTTTTATTCAGAGGAAGGAAAATTTACTGTTTTTATAATTAACAAGCTCCTCAGATATTTTTTTTTAAAAAAATGAAATCCACCCATAATCCCTCCCCAAGGAGTTCCTGTTTTCTGGAGAGACCTGCATTCCTAAAATTTCAGCCACATGACCTGCAGACGTCCCCACAGGGAGTCACGCATAAAATGGCAGCTCCTGCTGAGCGGCCACCACATTTAGTTAAAGGAACTGTGTGACCAACAGCTGTTTTCAGAAATTACTTCCATCAGACCTTGCCTGTTCCGAAGCCATCACTGCAGAAATAACCATTTTAGAGAAGTGCAGATGAAGGGTAGTATAGCACTTGCTCTCTGGCCTCTATTTCACTGAATCCTTATCATGTCTTCATCCACGCTCACCCAACATCAATGCATGTGCTAAGCTTCTGTGCTTTAAATGTAATTTATAGTTGTAAATACAGCCTCAACTGTGCCAATGCCATTCCGCACACCACCCTTTTTAGCAGATGTAGTGCCATCTTTCATGCATGTGTGCGTCCAGCCTTTTAAGACTATGTTGTTGACACAAGATCAGCCAGTAGACCAATACAATAAAATAGGAAATCCAGAAAGAGACTTCAACCTGGAAAGTCAACAGTTTTATGACCAAAGTACCATGTAATTCCTGCTATAAAGTGGTGACTGTGTTCCTGGCTGCATCTGTTAATTGAAACAAGTTAATTGGTATCCCATCGATTCCTGGGGCCTTAATTTTTACCAATGCCATCAATGCAGGTTCTGTGTCCTACTTTGTTACCTTTGGCTCCTGTTCATATGGTACTTCTTGAAAGTTTTCAGTGTTGGTCAGTTCTTTCTGGTACAGTGATTCTGTGTATTCCCTCTATCTTTTTTTGATGCTTTCTGGGTCTTTCAATATATCGCCTATAACATTTTTCAGTATTGTGACTCAAGGCTTTAATTTGTTTTCAGTTCTCTCAGCTTGAAAGATGTAGAGTGAGTTCTTTCCTTTTTATTCTCAAATTCCAACTCTCTGCACGCTCCGTTATAATACTTTTCTTTGTGCTCTCAAGCTTCCCTTTGAAATCTTCTGTTCCACTCTTTTACTTCGGCATGCTTTCCTTTAGTTTGGTGTTTTGATGCCCCAATGCAATTTTAGAGTCCTTTCTGACATCCATATTGATTTTTTTCTGTCTCCTCTGTTTTTGTAAAGATCTTTTGCTGTCTTCATAGATGATACACTTGATATCATTCCAACTCATCTGGTCCTCAATCATTGGTGATCAGTGCCTCAAACCTGTTCCTAAGGTGTTCTTGGCATTCAGATGGAATTGATTCAAGATCATTTCTTGGTTTCTGTGGACTTAAATTCATTTTCTTTAGCCTCAGTTTGAACTTACATGTGAGTAATTTATAGTCTGACCCACAAACTGCCCCGACCCAGTTTTGACTGCCAATATTGAGCTTTTCCAACAATTTCTTCTGTAAATGTAGTTAATCTGATTCCTGTGCAGCCCATTGGGTGAGATCCATGTGTAAAGTCATCATTTGTGTCTTTTAAAAAAGTATTTGCAAAGAATAAATCATTGTAAATAGAAAATTCAGTCATTCTATTTCCAGCCTCATTTCTATCACCAAGCCCATATTTTCCAACTATTGTTTCTTCTTCACCGTTTCCTACATTTGCATTCCAGTCACCAGTTATTATTAACGTAACACATCTTGATTGTGTCTTTGGTCAGTTGTGGGACTGCAGGATTTAGTAAAAATTCTCCATTTCTTCCTCTTTGCCTCTAGGTATAGGAGCATATATTTGAATAATAGTGTTAACAGTTCTTCTTTATATGTGTGTGGATATTATTCTATCACTCACAACACTGTATTTCAGGATAGAACTTGAAATTGAGTTTTTTACTCTGAATGCAGTATCATTCTTCTTCTGTTTCCATTCCCAGCATAGTATACCATATGATTATCTCATTCACAGTGGTCAAAGCTGGTCCATCTTATCTCACTAATGCCCAGTATGTCGACTTTGATGTATTCCATTTCATTTTAAACAATTTCCAGTTTTCCAACATTCAAGCTTGGTACATTCCATGTTCCAATTATTAAACAATGTTTGTTACTGTTTTTCCTCAAGTCAACTAACTTCTAATCTGGGCTCCACCACTACACTACTATATGTATCCTTATTCCTCTAGTGTTCATAGGGTTTTCAAAGGCCTGTGATTTAAGAAGTTGATCCCTAGTCTGTCTCAATCAGTCTATGCCAGGAAATTTTGAGGACAGCTCTCTGTGAATTGGAAGAGGTCCGTATTTGGTCCATAGTGGAAACTATTGAACAATATCACATGCAAGCAAAATACTGAAGATCATTCAAAAATGATTAGAACAGTGCATAGATAGGGAACTGTCAGGTGTTCAAGCAGGATTTAGAAGAGACCATGGCACCAGGGATATCATTGCTGATGTTAGACAGATCCTCACTGAAAATAAAGAATACCAGAAGAACTTCTGTTTGTATTTATTGACTATGCAAAGGCATTTAACTGTGTGGATCATAACAAATTGTGGTTAACTTTGAGAAGAATGGAAATGTCAGAGCACTTAATTGTGCTTATGTGAAACCTATACTTGGACCAGGAGGCTGTTGTGCGAACAGAGCAGGGAACACTTCATAGTTTAAAATTGAGAAAGGAATGTTCCAGGGTTGTATTCTCTCTCCGTACCTATTCAGTCTGTGTGCTGAGCAAATTATCTGAGCAGCTGGACTCTATGGAGAGGAGGTTAGCATCAGGATTGAAGGGAGACTCTTACACAGATGACATGACCTTGCTTGCTGAAAGTGAAGAGGACTTGAAGCACTGGTTGCAGAAGATCAGAAAATATAGCCTTTGGTATAGATTGCACCTCTCTGTCAAGAAAACTAAGATTCTTAGAACTAGACCAATAGACAACATCATGATGGATAGAGAGGAGATTGAAATTGTCAACAACTTCATCTGGCTTGGATCCACAGTTAGCACCCTTGGTACTAGCAGTCAGAAAATAAGGATACACATTACACTGGGGAAAATGTGCAGTTAGGGTCCTTTCCAAATTACTGAGGAGTAACAATGTCAGTTTGAGGACTAAGGTATGTCAGGTTCATGCCATAGTCTTTCTATGCATCTGAGAGCTGGAAAATTAATAGGATGTCAGGAAAAAAATGTATGCCTTTGATCTGTGGAGTTGGAGAAGAGTAGTGAACATCCCATGGACAGCCAAAAGAACAAACAGATATGGATTGGAGAGGGTGCAGCTGTTCTTTGTAGGCAAGAATGATGTGGCTTCACCTCACTTACTATGGGCATGTTGCTAGGAGGGGCTATTACTTGGAGAAGGAGATGATGCTGGGAAGGGTGGAGGGTCGGCAAAGGAGAGGAAGACCCTCAGTAAGGTGGATTCACACAGTGATTACCACAGTGGGCTCTTGTGTGGTAAAAAATGTGAGGATGGCACAGGATAGAATAGGATTCAGAACTTCTGTTCATAGGGTAGCTATGAGTCATATTCAACTCGACAGTACCTAAAAACAACAACAACTACCATGTAATTCAGTGGTGAATGGTATTTTTTCAATACATGGTGCTTATATTTGTATAGGACTTTTACTCTAATACCATTCACAAAAATTGACTTGAAAGGGAGTTCTGGTGGCCTAGTGGCAAGAAGCTGCACTACGATCCCAGAGGTACATGGTTCAAATGCACCAGATGCTTTGCTGGAGAAGGAGGGGCAGTCTCCTCCTGTATCAGTCAGATCCAATTTGATGATACACACACACAAAATAAGAAAAGAAAAGAAAAATAAAAAATATATATAAAATGGACTTCAAATGGATATTAATCATATGAAGGAAGTGTAAAACAAAGATTCTAGAAAGAAAAACCTATCTTAAGTATCTTTATGCCTTTAGGTATTAAGATTTCTTAAGGAGTGCAAAGATGGTTTCTTAAGAGCACTATCTTTCTTAGCTTAATATGTGTACCTATTATGTAAAGTTTCTGTTAAAAGAGTGAAAATTGACTACACACACTTAAAGCAGGTATTGTAATTTACACCTTCAAAGGACTCATTCACATTTACATAGAGAATTCCTACAGATCACTAAAGAGACAGCCCAGTTTTAAAAGTGGAGAAAAGACTTTTAACAGACGCTTTATAAAAGAGAATATGTAAATTTTTCATAAACAAATACAGACAAAATCACAACTAGATAAATTAACCACTCACAAAATGACTGTGATTTTAAAGCCTGACAGCACTCAATGTCCCTGTTAGAAAAGTTGTAAAGAATCTGGAACTCACAGACATTGCTGTGAGAGAGAAATAAACTGATGCAACCACTTTGTAAAATATTTTGGAGTTATCTCCTAAAATGACAAATACCCAAGTATTGTAAACCAGCAGTTTTATTCCCACAAGTGTCTCATAGTTGCCTGCATATTTTATACTAAGAATCATGTACAAGATTTTATTTTCTAACAGTTGAATTTATAATCAAACTGTGAACAGCTAGTTGTTATTCAGAAGGAGAATATATAATGAAGCTATGGCTTAATTATGAAATAAATAGAATTGAGCAGTAAAATGGAATAAACTTCTGTTACATATAATAGCATGGATTAATCTATCAGATATAATAAAATAGTTTTATAATAATCTTGGTAGGCTTTGTGAGCTAAGCAATTTATATTTTAACTATTTACCTTCACTGTTGCATTGTAAAAGCAGCTGTAAACAATAGGTAAAATGGATATGGCCATATTTCAATAAATCTTTATTCATAAGAACATGGGTCTGTGAAGATACAGCCACCAAGCCATAGCTTACCAAGTCCTGATGAAATAAAAGTTCCGAGGGTATTTATTGGTGGCAGAGTCAGAGAAGAGATAGTATTGACTACTGTATTAGTTACCTTTGTTGCATAATAGATTAATGTTTAGTGCCATAAAATGTTAACGTGTAGTTTTTGTATGTCACCTATGTAGTTTTTGTGCATCACATACATAGTTTTTGTACATCAGGATTCTAAGCATCTTAGCTGAGTGATTCTAGCTTGTCGTTTATAAGAAGATTTCAGTACAACTGTAGAACTCTTAAAAACTTGACCAGAGTAAAAAATCCTCTTTGTTCTGCCCTCTGGCAAGTTAGTGCCAGTTATTGGCAGTAGGCCTCAGCTCCTTATAACGTAGGTCCTCTGTAATACTGTGTCTGTTTTTTGTGACCTGACAGTTGATTTACTCCACAGTGATCCAAGAAGGAGAAAGACAGCTTTTTTGACATCATGTTAAAAGTAGCATGTTGTCATTTCTACAACATTCTATTTGTTAATGTTAGTGAAATTTATATGTATCATCAAGTCCAAACCCACTCATGATTGACCCTCCAGCAAGTTTCCAAAGGCACTAAATTGCACGGGATGAGATTGCCCATCTTTCTGCCACAGAGTACCTGGTAGATTTGAATCGGGTGCCTTTGGGATGGCAGCAGAGTTATATCGCTAGGCCACCAGAGGTCCTGAGTAGAGAGCTCCCAGGAGGTGTGTCTGGTATTGAGCCAAAAATCACTATTAATGCTAGTAATACAGAAAAGAAGAATTAGTTGACTTTCTGAAATGATGAATAGCAAATAATTTCTAGGCATTTTAATATATACCACCACAACTGGAAAAGAAAATGAGGTAGTCTTCTGAGATGCTCAGTTTTCATTGAGTTTTGATAGCACAAGTATGTATGTATGTATGTATGTATGTATGTATGTATGTATGTATGTATGTATGTATGTGTAAACGTTAACAAACTGTGTGCTTAAAATGTGTGGACTATATGCATGTAGTTTTTAAATTACTTGAATAGCTACAATATTGCAGTGACTAGTCTTAGGCTTTTGTCTGCAGTACGTGCATTCTGTTGTTTACCTCTGCATGTGATACTATAGATGAACATATCTGTTGCCCACATGGATGACATGTAAAGCAAAAGTCTTCGCTCTCAATCTTTGAAGCCCTTTTTAATCCTTGAGACCTGACAAAGTAACTTTATTTAAACCTTAGGGCTTGACAAACTAACATTATGTTTTTGAAGTTAGAACATAACTGTATTGTATAAAATCTCATAACTGTCATTTTACTCAAATGGGATTTCTCTATCTAGAGGCTGTTGGAAGCTGCCTGGGAGAATTGGGCCCTATCGATTTCTCAACAATAGCTATGCAACATGGTAAAGATGCATCTTATAACAAAGCCCTTGAGTTATTTGAAGATAAAGAGCTTCAGTGGACTTTTACAATGCTGACCCACTTGAATAATAGTCTGGTGGAAGATTGGTGAGTATTTAAGGGTAACTTATACCTGACATGCTGCCTTAATATGTTATGTTTTGGACTGCTTCCTGAAAGACTGGGGAGGTCCAAGTCCACCAGCTGCTCTGTGGGCCAGAGGTGGCCCGTTCCACGCATAAGGATTTACAGCCTTGGAAGCTGAAGAGGATCACCTTAATTCAAAGTGGGCCAGTGAGCTTTCATTTTATATATATTTTCATACAGGCTGAGGTATTTATTATATCTGATAACACTTATTTAATCTGATATTCAAGGAGAATTTCATTTTCTATATTCATATTTTCATTAGTGAAAATTTTTTCCTTTAAGTTCTTACATATTAATCAAACATTTTTTAAGAAAAATCTTTACATTTTTTTATTAGTTTGTATTGAAACCCTGTTATATGCATGCCAATGAATATAGTGGTGTGAACCACACCAAAACAAAACAAAATACTCCTTGCCATTGAGTCAGAACAAGCTAGAAGGATGACCAGTGGTTTTTTATAGGCTCTAAACTGCTACCCCAGGACCTTGTTAAATTCCAGTGAGTGTATATATAGTAAATGTGTATATAAATAGGAAAAATACCAAGTTAAATTCTTTAAAGGATATGTATTTTAGGTATTTAACAAAATCTGGGGTGACACCATAGTAAGGTAACTTTAATTTTGACTCTTAAAAAATAAGCCACAGGGAGTTCTGGTGGCCTAGTGGTAAAAAGTTGCACTGCAATCCCAAAGGCAAACAGTTCAAATCTTCCAGGTGCTCTGCTGGAGAAGGAGGAGCAATCTCTTCTTGTGGTACACACAAAAATAAT